AGATGCCGAGGAGCTCAGAAGGTGGGCGACTGTGACCAGTGATAGTCATGTATATAGAGATTAGAAATACATGTGAAAACGACTCAATGTCAATTGCTTTGGAATGAATTCTTTTGTATGAAAAAATAATAATAATGATTAAAAAACAATAATTAGTAGATGTGAAAAACATTACCATTGAAATCTACCTGATGACTTTATATTCATTCTCAGAAGCCAAGGAGCTCAGAAAAAACCAACTGTGACTAGTAATAGTCAGATGTATAGAGATTAGAAATGCATGTGCATCTTAGTTTCAATTGTATTAAAAATAATTTCTATATGGAACTGTGTATTTTAATAATGAAATGGAGATGTTTTTTAAAGTTTAAAACCTCATTTAATTTTAACTCATAGGGTTTATACTGAGTACAATATTGTATAACTGTATTAATTCAACTGTAAACCTAAAAATTTACGGCCAATTTTGAAAGAGATGCATCTTAGCTCTGGAAATTGTTATTGAATATGTCAATGCTGTTGCAAGGAAATGCTTCTTCTAATTATGTGGTTATTAAATAATTTTTTTTTAAAAAAGGTAAGTAACTGAATTGGGGCTTGGGTCTTTTTCTTCCAGACATTTTTATGACAACCCAATCCAGTTTGTGGGAAGGTCGGCATTCCAGTACTTGCCTAAACTACACACGCTGTAAGTGGGTACCAGTGGCTGCTGCTTATTGCTGTAGTCTGGACTTTTCTTCTGCTCCCTCTTGCCTGTTTGCCTGCCTTGTGCCTGTAGGTATCTCAGAGGCCAAGTACAACCCTGCTGGAAGGAGAGGCCTTCAGGGCTCCAGGTTTCCACTCTCAGACCTATTCCTAGACCTGCCTGAGCTCAATGGCCTCCCTCCACTTCCACGACCTGGTGGCTTCTGCTCACATGGATGAAGAGAGCCCTTCTTCAGGGCTAAAGAAACTTCTCTGGCCTCTTTGGTCTTATGCAGCTTATGGTAACTGCTCCATGCATACCTATAGGAAAAACAGTGGACAGGGCTAAGTTTCTGAATTCTGTGTGTCCTCCAGGACATTTCTCCAGTGCCCTGCAGCTTCCTGGAGCCCTCACCATACCATCTTCTCACACTTAGCCTTAAGGCACTCTCTTGTTTCCTCTCTCTTACTCTTTCAATTTCAAGCCCAGGTTCTATTTAAAGAAAAAAAAAAAAAAAGCGTTCATGGATTGCTCTCAGCGTACTGTGGCCTTATACTACACAGATAACCTCCAAGCACGTGTTTCACTTTCAAGTTCCCCATCACATATAATTTTCATCCTAACCCTGTGAGGTAAATTTTATTGGTCCATTTTACAGATGTAACCTAGGGTGCTCAGGTACTGAATGGGCATGAACTCAGGCCTTTAACTTCTAATACCAGGCTTATTGCTGGATGGCATTCTGCCTCCCCAAGGTCTTGTTTGCTTGTTTGTTTGTGACAAGGTGTCATGTGGTCAAAGCTCAACTCCTGAGCCTCCTGCCATCTTCCAAGGGCTGGGATTACAAGGCATGTGGCACCACTTTCAACCACACACTGGTTCCTTAAAAGAGACATTTCTAGCTGGGCGTGGTGGCGCACGCCTTTAATCCCAGCACTCTGGAGGCCGAGGCAGGAGGATCTCTGTGAGTTCAAGGCCAGCCTGGTCTACATAGTGAGTTCCAGGACAACTGGGGCTACAGGGAGACCCTGTCTCAAAAAGACCAAAAAAAAGGAGACATTTCTGCTCAGTGCGGTGGTACATGCACTATTATCTCAGTGCTTGGGAGGTAGAGGCAGGAGGGTCACGAGTTCTAGGTGAGCCTGTGCTGCATAATGAGTTTGAAGCCAGCCTCAGTCTCAAAACAAAATAGTAACAACAAAGGACACTTCCCATGTTCCTTGCCTGGGTTTGGTTTTGTCTTTTTGCAAGCTTGAGGCCTCAATGCTGGAGTTGCCAGTCTCAATCAGGGCTGGGATGAGCCAAACCAACTTCAAAAAGTGGCTGGTTGGAGTCTGCTAAGCATGGCTTAGCCTCCAAAAAGCCCAGAGTGGCTAATTTGGGGGTGGGGGGAAAATCGTATTTCCCCTAAAGGTAGAGTAGCTGAGGCAGGAGGACTGAGAGTTGAGAGCTCAGATGTTGAGATACTGACCCACTCTCCAGAGCCTGTTTTCTCTTTTTACAGATCCCTAAATGGTGCCACTGACATCCAGGAGTTCCCAGACCTCAAAGGCACCACTAGCCTGGAGATCCTGTGAGTGGATTATCTCTGGGATTCTTCTACCTCCCTTTCCCCTGGAAGGTTCTCCAGACTACACGCTCCTCCTGTTTCCCCTCCTCTAGCCTGCCTCAGCTACTGGCTCAGTCCCAGAGCCTTGGCCATCTCCAGATGTGGTGCTGTCTCCAGACAAGGCAGGGGGGCAGTAGGATGTGGGGAGGAAGCTGGTATTCCTCTCCTGTGCTTGGACTTGTCAGGTCTGGCTTCAGAGCTCCTAATCCTGAGCCATGGTGCACTGAGGACACAGGAAGGGAGCAGGGTTGATTCCAACAAAGACTTTCTCAGAGTTTCCATTACTATATCCTGCAGCATGGGGAAGGGGCATAGGTACATAATGGGCCCTCAAAACATCTTACACGAATGATAGAAACAACCAAGCAAGTACCCAGTGTGAGTGTTAGGAAGTCAACTCCCTGCCCCATGCCACACAATTCACTCATGGCATTGCAGGGACTGGCACTCTTCTGTGCCTCTATTGTCTTCTTCCTAGCCCTAATGGCATGTGGAAAATTTTCCATGAAAGTAGTAATAGTTCCCCAAAGATGACTTTGGCCTTGGGTCTTTCTAGAACTACCCTGTACCTAATCCAAGCCCATTCTTCAATATGCCCCCACAATCCTCTGCACTCTAGCCTTACGTCTTTCTCTTCTTTCCCATCTCTTCTCCCTCCCCCAGGCATGGGAAGCAAAGTGTATGCTGTGTTCCCATGATTCCATTGGAGCTGTTTTCTAGCTTCATTCTAGCTCATTGCTATGGCTATCCCTCCCCTCTAAGGCCCAGAGAACAGGGAAGAGTTAGTTTCTATCCTAAGGCCGTGTTGCTGGGACCATTATGACAGGTGAGGTAGGGATGGAATGAGGATATGTGGATGGGTCTGGGTCTGTAGGAGTTGCCAGACAAGCAGAGCCCACGGCCTGCCCCCCCCCACTTCCTATCCCATCTCCCCTAGGCCAACGAGAGCCTGCACTTTTCTGTTCCCCAGCCCCACCACCTGCCCTGTTTCTCCCACCACTTCTCTCTTTTGTCAGCTCTATCCTCCCACGACAGTATCAGGTCCAGCACTAGAGATGATGGCTGGGAATGGCAGGGCCCTGGGCCTGGTGCCAGCTCTGTCTCTGATCTCTCTGCAGGACCCTGACCCGCGCAGGCATCCGGCTGCTCCCACCAGGAATGTGCCAACAGCTGCCCAGGCTCCGAATCCTGTGAGTGGCTCATGAGCATTCTACAGTTCTGGAATCGTGCCCCGTCCCCATGTCCCAGCAAAAGCGTCTCCTGCTTCTGTCCCACTTCGTTACATCTCTTTCTAGAGAGTGGACAAAATAGGCTCCTGTTGAGAATCTGCTTGGGAGGAACTGTCCTCTCTTATTCAGAATAAAGAGCATTGGTTTGTGGAGTCAGACCTGAGCTGTTTGATGCCCAAGTCTGATACTCACTAACTCTGTTAATTTGGATTCATTCTTCAATGTCTCTGAACTTCAATCTCCTCATGTTTGAAATGAGAGTAAACTTGTCTTTTAAAAAAATATGTGTAAAGCACCTATCACATAGTAGGGGCTCAAAATGCCATCATTTTAGGCAAGAAAAGTTAATTATTTATGGTACTCTGAAGATACTTAAGTGGCTCTAGACCCACCCCCCAACCTTGATTCCATCTTCAGTCTGGGACTCTTCCTTAGGGATTGTCTCAAAGCTGAAGATGGGTACATTGACCCAGGGGTGCCCGGATGTGGGCTCCAGACCCAGCCTTGCCTACTAAATGTCAGTGTCCAGGTCTTATGATGAAGTCCTGAACCTCAGGTTCCTTGTTTAAGTGATAGATAGGGTCAGATGTTCTCTGAAGTTTACCAGCACTGCTCTTCCCTGCCAGCTCCATAAAGGGTGATTATAAGGGCGTCACTGGGTGACACTGATCATCTTGCTCAGTCATGCCCATGTTCCCTGCTGACCCCATGCTGAGACTCTTGGCCTCTGTCTTCATCTCCATACTCTTCATTTTGTGCTCTGCTTCCCCCAGGATGCTCCCAGGGTCCTACAGGCTTTCCTGTGGATAAGGCATCCCTGTTGGAAAAAAAAAAAAATGCCATGCTGGTATCATCCAGGCCCAGTAGGGAGTGGGGCTTAGCAGGGAGAAAGGAAGAGAAATCTAATGGAGGAGATCGTACCGTTGTATGAGATGTGCCCATACCATGTCCCTGCAGGGTCCCCATGACCTTTATCTGCTTGACAGGAAAACAAAGCCCTGACCACAGCTGCTTTTTCCTGCCCCCACCCTCTACCTCCACACAGCCACTGCTTCATCCCAGACTGGCCTCTATCTCTTCCCCAGGGAGCTGTCTCATAATCAGATCAAGGAGCTGCCCAGCCTGCACAGGTGTCAGAAGTTGGAGGAAATGTGAGTCTGGGGGTAGCTAGAGGCAAAGGCATGCAAGACAGATTCTGGGCAGGTCTGAGGGAGGGGGGCCAGGGGCTAAAACATGCTCTGACCCTTCTCCCCTTCTCAGTTTATTGGACCCAGGGGTAAGGCCGGGTGCTCAAAAAGGCCTGGACCCCCGCCCAGGACTCAGAGCATATGACACTGCCAGGAACAGGTGTCCTAAAAGAGTCTTACAGTGATGCCTTCTGAGTCAACAGCAACTGGAAAATGTAGTCATGATTAGAGCCAGTAGAAGGACAGGGCCACCACAGGGTTGGGTGGGTGAGACACAGATTTTCAGAGGAACCAAAATTGCCCTGGGTTTGGGAGCAGGTGCTCCTGTTTTCTACATCCCCTCAACACTCACACAGAGGTATACGTGAGATTCCAGTTTCACAAGGAAAATTTCGCTTAAAAATCCCCTAAGCCCCATTTGTCCCTCTAATTTTCTTAAACTATCACGATCCCCTGGGCTCCCAGTATCTATCCCCTGATTCTAGGCAGGACAATGCTTTATGGAGCCAGAACAGGGAGGAGATATAAGGATGTGTTCTGTTTGTCTGAGTGACAGTGTATGACATTGCTGAAGCCCAGCATCCATCCCCTATTCAGACAGCTGGTCTCATGAACTCTGCTTCCTGGCTCAAGGCAGTCACTTGGCCATCCAAGGGCTGGGGGGTGCTCCACTGCTGGGCTGGGGTCCGGAGGACCCATGGCTGTGGGAGAGAATGGGGGGTACTTCAGCTGGGCTGGGAGCCAGGCCTGGTGGGAACCCTGAAAGCTGCCTCCCTTTTGGGCCACAGGGATGGTTTTGTAGCTTTGTCTCCTGACCCACTTACCCAAGGCAACCGGATCCCCTTGTGCTCCCTTTAATTCTGGTGACTTCCGCGGGCTGGGCCTTTCTTCCTGTGCCAGGAGAAGTGGGGGGCTCTCCTTTCTTCCTCTCAGTGCTCAGGGGGTGTGGAGCAGAGCCAGAGCCTGAGCCTCCAGGCCTGGCTCTCATCTAGCCTCTCTTGTTGCCCTAGCGGCCTTCAACACAACAGAATCTGGGAAATTGGTGCTGACACCTTCAGCCAGCTGAGCTCCTTACAAGCCCTGTGAGTACCTGCAGCACCCAGGGGTGGGTGCTTGAGTCCTGTGTCCCCTGCCAGGTCATACCGATAGCACATGTGTCCATAAGCACTCATGACCTGCATGCCTCCGCCACTGCATGGCCCCTTCCCAAACACACACACACACACACACACACACACACACACACACACACGAGGGGGGGGGGGCGAGCCACCTCTCCATTCAGACTTGCAGGTCACTTCTCCAACTATTACTCAGATCCTGAAGCTCTGGAGCTAAACTCTGATGGGCCCATTCTAGAGGCCACAACCAGGTTGGGAACTAGGCAGCAGCCAATACTTTACCTGAAAGGCTAAAGCCACTGCTGCTCAGGAACGTCCAATGGGAAGTATGTGAGGGAAAGCCTACGATGGGAACAATGCCTTCTCCACTTATCCCTGCCCTCTCCTATCTCATTCTCTCTGTTCCCAGAGATCTAAGTTGGAATGCCATCCGATCCATCCACCCTGAGGCCTTCTCCACCCTGCGCTCTTTGGTCAAGCTGTAAGTGCCTGCTGAATGCTCTTCCCAGGATGCCGGGGACCATCAGGAGTGTGGGCTGGCTGATGGGGCGGGAGGTCCACTAATGAGTAGGGACTTGTATAAATGTTTCACATACACTACAGAGAGGTCGGGGCAGCCCAATCAATCATTTTAACAGTGTGTTTGACACACCATGAGACCGGGTAAACAGAGAGCTTGCCTCCTGCAAACCTGGACTATCATCTGCTAATGTTCTGCAGCATTTTGGCAACCTCAGTCCTCTCCATGCACTCCTGGCCTCACCTCCATTCTAGCCTCAATACCCTCCACACACACCAATAAAGGGGATATATGGGCTTAGAATTTCTCTCAATTCAAGAGGACAGTGGTTGATGGGGGATGCAGGGGTTCACAGAGTTGCAGAGCAATAAGGGACCATAGATTCTTTAAATCACATAAGATATATGAAGGACTGGTACATGGTCATTATGTCAGGCTGTAAGGGGCTTCTGATCTGGCTGCCACACATTGTGGTACAGGTTATTAGCTGCACAAGGAAAGGCTCCTGCCTGAGGGGAGGTTGGCATCCTACCTGCCTGCTTGTCAAGCTCTGTGCCCCAAAGGCACACCCATTCACATGGGGCCCTATTCTAACTAACACAAAGACTCCTCAGGGCTAGTTCCAGCCCTGGCCTTGGAGACCATCCAGCCACTGGCCCTCACTTCATAGGGAACATTGGCCTAGGAGAAACACTTGCTTAAGGGCTTGTTTAGGACTCCCAGGCGGCACGTAGTCCCTTCCCACTGTGTGGTTCTCTGGCCCCTGAGCCTTGGTCTTGTAAAACTCTCACCTCTGTCTTCCCTTTCCTTTTTGCTCTACTACTGCCAAATAGGTAGGGCAGATATTTTTATCCATTGAAAGATGAGGACATTGGAACTTGGGTAGTTTTGTGACTCTTTGGTTACATAGTGAGTTGGTGACAGTGCCAGGTTTCCTGCCTACCAGTCCAGGGCTGTTTCCAAGACACACAGTCTCTGGTCCTGGTGTTTGCTTTAGGGCCCCAGCTTCCTTTAACCATGTCTCCAGGGCAAGTTGTGTATGTCCTCACCTCTGGCTACCATGCAGTTTCTGCAAGGCAGAACAGATGATCCAGTCCGTGCTTGGGGCTGAATGACCAGCTCTGTTCTACTTGGCCTGACTCTGACCGCTCCTCTCATCAGAGAAGCAGAGGGAAAGCATGGGGTATAGGCAAACAGCAGACAAATTTTCCTGCAGGGTGAGCAGGAGTTCCTACTGGGACCCAGACCTGAACATAGGAGCTACATCTGGAGGCTCTGCTACCTACAAATTGGGAAATTGACACTAAGTTAGAAGAGCCCCTGACACAATGTTTGTTGAATGAATGATTGGGTTAATAGAGGGTGCATCTAGCAACTCTTAAGCACATCTCCCCTAGAGTGTATACTGTCTTCTCCCTGTGCTTACCTTCTGGCTTTCTCCTCTTGCTTCTGTCCCAGGCACACTGATCACACCCTCAGCACAGCCCTGCCCCCTCAGCAGTCCCACCGACTGCCAATAATACTGATCATCCACTATCCTAGGGACCTGACTGACAACCAGCTGACCACACTGCCCCTGGCCGGGCTTGGGGGCCTGATGCACCTGAAGCTCAAAGGGAACCTGGCTCTGTCTCAGGCCTTCTCCAAGGACACTTTCCCCAAACTGAGGTGAGGACCTGGCTTTCTCCCATGCCTCTGGAGGTATATCCTGGACTGATGGAGGCTACAGAGAAACAGAGAAAAGCCACAAGGTCTCACCCTGAGAATAGCCTAATAGTTTAGAGTTTGGCTTCACTGACCTCCTACCAGCTGATTGTGATCTGGCACATGCCTCTCCTCCCTTCTTATCTCCCAACTACCAACCTAAGGGCCCTGGGACCTGTGAGGACAGGAGTGAACTGATATAGAGGCCTCTTGGCCCTCCTTACTCTTTGTCTGGTTCTACACAGCCTGTCCTTCCTCATTTGGGCAGCATCTAAGGCAGCCAGCCGATCAGGGCAGAGCCCAGGGCACTGATGAGTGGAAAACAAGCTGCACAGCCAGTCCCTGGTGCTAATGATATCCAGTCTTCCTTCATGTAGTGGCAGCAGCAGTGCAGCCTGTGTGGCCCAAGCCTTGTCTGCTGCAAGCTAATGAGATGCCCAAGGCATCTGTCCTCACCCTCGGAGGGCACAAAATCCAGTTCTGCTAAACACAGAGCAGAGAGGGAACAGAGGACAGGGTTTCATAGAGGGCAAAGGTAAAAAGTTGCTAGGAAAATTGTTGCTTAAAGAAAGGAAGAGGGGTTGAAGAAATGGCTCAGTGGTTAAGAGCACTTGCTGTACAGTCAGGATAGGAGCTCAGATCCCGGCACACGTATAAGCTGGTCATCCCATGAATCCCTGTAGTCCTAGGTCTGAGGGGTGCAAAGACAAGATTACTGGGGCTTTCTGGTTTCCAGTCTAGCCAAGAAACCAGGCAGTAAGAGTTCAGGTGAGACCCTGCCTCAAATAAATAGGTGAAGAGTGATAAAGGAGGACACCTGACACCCTCTTTTGGCCTTTGCACACGTACACAAGAGCCTGCCCCACTACACACACACATGTGCATAAATTCACACAGACACTGGGAGAGGAAGGAAGGAAGGAAGGAAGGAAGGAAGGAAGGAAGGAAGGAAGGAAGGAAGGAAGGAAAAGAAAGAAGTTACTGTGCATGGTGGTATACACTTGTCATCCCAACACTTGGTAGGTGGAGGCAAGAATAGCAGGAGATCAAGGTCATCCTTGGCTATAGATGGAGTTTGAGGCCAGCCTGAACCACATGAGACCATCCTCAAAAAATAAAAGAAGGAAAAAGTCAGGGAGAGAAATAAAGAAGGGAAGAAGAGTGCTTGGGATCAAACCCATGGGCCTTGTGCATGCTAGGCAAGTGCTCTATCACTGAGCTACTCCCAGCCCCCCGCCTCATTTCTCCTCCTTAAACGTAAAACAAGAGTTACTGCTTTGGACGAGGAGCAGAGTACCCTTTGTGCCATGTAACTTTGGGGAAGTCGCCCCCAACTCTGAGCCTGCTGTGGGGACTTCTTAATCAATAGGCAGATGGTTTCTCTCTCTCTCTCTCATTTCTGAAGATGAATGAGGAAACTAGAATGTTCCTAGAGCCCTTTAGGGTCAGGAATCAGGCTGTAAGGCTCATCTAAAGAAAGGTGGGGGCGGGCAGGGCACTTTGGGGTTGAAGAGCAGGTGCTGAGTGCACAGCCATTGGGCTAAGGGTATCTCCACTAAGGTCTTAGAAACCTAGCACACTAAGGTAGTCCCCCAACCCCAGGATCCTGGAGGTGCCCTATGCCTACCAGTGCTGTGCCTATGGCATCTGTGCCAGCTTCTTCAAGACCTCTGGGCAGTGGCAGGCTGAGGACTTACACCTGGAGGAAGAAGAGGCTCCAAAGAAGACCCTGAATCTCCTGGCTGGACAAGCAGAGAACCACTGTGAGTGGCTGGGGACCCCAGATTAGAGGTGTGGGGGGCTATGGAGAAGAATCTTGAAAGGAAGCTTGGAGGATGTGGACCTCTGGGAGAAACGCTGGTGGGAGCACTTATGACCTGGAAGGACTGTCCCACTGTTTGTACCTTGTCTCTCCAAGGCTACACCCCAGAGTACTTGCTAAAAATGATAGCAAGAATAGCAGCAGGAATGGCTCAATACCCCCTGGCCTCAGTTCACAAAGTGCCTTACATGCACCATCTCTCTTAATACCCATGTCCCATGCTCACGTGCTTGGTCTTCCTGGCTGCCTCTCCACCCTTTGGACAGTCTCAGAGAAGACACACCCATTAGTGCCTCAACCTGAGTCAAATAGGATGGAATTAAATTAATTGAATTAAACCTGTTTCAAGAGGAAAAAAATCACCTTAAATTATGTCCTGGGATTAATGGAAAGGTTGCAGGGATCATTGGACTCAAGGCTGTCTTTTGCCTCTATTTCTGCCTAAGAGTCCAAATGTGAAAGTCAAGTGGACACTGGGAAGGCCAGGTTGTCTTGGGCCAAATCTGTTTCTGGAAGAATTGGGATGAAGGGAAAATGGAGGTAGATAGTCAGGGGACTCTGAGGGATTGTCTTACAAAGTGTGTCTTGGGTAAAGGGGAGAAATGAGTACTTTTATCTCTCCCTGCCCTGTGTTCTCAACCAGAGTCAGGAGAGATAAAGGATCCCTACTTGTTTTGTTTTCCATCTCAAACTTCTTTAGTGTCTCAGAGAAGCTGAACAGAAAAAAATCAAATCTAAATCTGAGTAATCCCTAGGTAAAGCAAAAGGATCAGGTGTTCAAGGTCAACCTCTGCAACATAATCAGTTCAAGGCCTGTCTGTACTACATGAGACTCATTTTCAACATCTCATGGTGGGGTTGTGGCATAGACAGAACTTAGTCCAAACCCTACATTGATATACCTGATGGGTTGCCTTTAACCCAACAAGTGATTTAACTTGAGTTTCAATTTCCTTATGTTTCAGTGAAAAAGTTAATACATCTCTCAGTAGTTTCGAGAGATTTGAAGGTTCCATTCAAGGCCAAGTATGTTTGCCATTACTGCTTTGAGAGCCAGTGCTTTCAGGGACACATATGTGGGGACAGTGTCATTCTATAGTCTAGAACACAGTTTATAGAAGTCTAAGTGTTATGCAGTCTGGGGATCTCTGAGAACTTCCCTCTCAGTGGATGGAAGTATCTCCCAAAGGGGGTACAAGTGTCCAGGGGGAAGAGCCCAGCAGCTAGGAGGAACATCTATGTCTCCGCCAGGGGCAGTCCTGGACATCTGCTGCATACTTTTGGGGGGAGCAGAAGGAGGCTGGGAAGAGGAATGGAAACTTTCCTTCCTCAAGGTGAAACTTTCCACCGGGCTTAGATCTTGGAGAACTACAGGGCATTGAGTTAGTGGGCTGCCTGCTGCCTGTAACAGGAGCTGGGGCAGGGCCCCCTACTTCCTGTGGAAGCAAATGAGCTTCAAGAAAAGAAAGCAAGCCAAGAGCTGCTATTCCAGCCAGATTTGATTTCCTCCTCTTTTGAAGAGCGGTTACTTAACACCTTGGCTGTGAGTTTCCCAGCTTCAGACAGAGTCTGAAGGTCTCACCCCTTATATTTCATTCATGTATTTTGATTTCAAAGAATTGCTGATCTCCATTCTGGGGCGCATGAGCAGGTAGGGAATGAAAGATAGAGAGAAGAAATGCCAGAACTCTGTGGTATATGTTGGCTTTCTACTTTCCCTGAAGCTGTCCAGGCCAAGGGTAGCTCCATCATCTTCCAGCCTCATGGGAAACGCCCAACAGATGTTTACCCTTTAGGTGGGGAGGAAAGATCCACACAGGAAACAGAGCCTGTGAGCCCAAGATGGAGACAAGAGCAGCAGGGTCATTTGCTTATTCCTCTATGCTAGAGGAAGAGACAAGAAGGCACTGTGTCTTAAACCTCGATGATGTACAGATGCTTTTTATTCTTCACCCAAGTTCTCCAACATGAGTCTATAAGTCGAGAAACCACTTGTGTGTGAGTGTGTGTGTGTAGAGTATGTGTGAGTCAACATGCTTATGTATGTGCATGTGTGTGTGGAGGTGCATGTGCATGTGTCTGTGAAGACCAAAAGGCGATGCTGTATGTTTTCCTCTATCACTCTCTACCTTATTCTCTGAGACAGGGTCTTTATCTGAGCCCAGAGCTCACCAACTGGCTAGACTGGCTGGCCAGGGAGTTCTAGGGATCTCTTTGTCTCCCGTCCTCCCCATCTATCTATCATGCCTGGCTTTTATGTCCCAGTTTTTAATGCTACTGCTAGGGATCTGAACTCAGGTCTTCATGTTTCCAAAGCAGCTCCTTTACTGACTGCATCATCTCCTCAGCCCTGAGAAACAGTCCTGTTCTTTAAAGTCTTTCAAACTAGGCATGGTAGTATATACTGTGATCCCAGGACTAGGAAAATGGAGACAGGATGATCAGGAATTCAAGGCTATCCTTGACTACATAGTGAGTAGTTTTACTATAAGACAAGTTTTAAGACCCTGTCTCAATAAAACAAAACAATGATAAACAAGCAAACAAGTCTTTCAATGATGGGGTGTCCTTACAAAAGAAAGTTGTGTCTTTATAGGTTCTAAATGTTTTAGATTTTGAAATGTTTAGAATTTATGGACTTCATCCTTAGAGGTAATACCATAACAGAGTTACGAATATGGCTAAGTGGTAGAAACCTTGCCTACCATGATCAAGGCCATGTATTTGGCCTTAGTAATACACACACACACACACACACACACACACACACACACACCAAACCAAACCAAAACCACCCTGCACTGTAAATAACAAAAAAGAAATCTCATGTCATGTGGGACATGGTGCACAAGCCTTTAATCTCGGCACTCAGGAGAAAGACACAGGTGGATCTCTGAGTTTGAGATCAGTTTGGTCTGGTCTACATAGCGACTTCTAGACCAGCCAGTGAAACCCTGTCTTAAAAAGAGGGAGTAGGGGGGGCTGGAGAGATTGCTCAGTGGTTAAGAGTACTTGTAGCTTTTCCAGAGGACCCAGGTTTGGTTCCCAGCACCCACATGGCAACTCACCACTGCCTGTATGCCTGTGGTACACATATATGCACACACACACACACACACACACACACACACTAAACTATTTTTTCAAAAGCTCATTGGGGCTTGGAGAGGTGGCTCAGCAGTTAAGCTATTCATACAAAAGAACAAGGTTCAGTTCCCAGCACTCACATAGCAGTTGTTACTGTCCTTAATTCCAATTCTAGGGGATCTGATGCCCTCTTCTGGCCTCCATGGGCATTGCATGTGCATGATGCACTTTTGTAGGTGCAGGCAAAACACTCATAAACATAAAATAAAAATATTTAAAAAATAAATAATAAAAGCTCATTTGACTCAACTACTTTACAGAATTTTGTTGACAATGGGTTTGCATTATAATTTATCTTCTCAGACTAACCAGAATTTCAGAACCCAGAATTAGAATCAGAAGGCACATTAATGATTGTCTAATCCAGTTTTGACTTGGAGTAGAAGTGTCCTCTCTTACCTTGGGGACTTTCTGCTTCAATGTCTCCAGTAACAAAGTATACCTAGAACACTCAGGTGTAAACCTTCTACTCCCTAACACTCCAAAATAGCTAGTCCCTCCCTAATGGTGGACATCCAGGCTCTCCAGTCTAACAGACATGGGTTTGCATTCTGGGTTGTTGCTCACTGGTTGTGAGGCCTGAAGAAAGCCACTTAATTTCAGAGAGCCTCAGTTTCGCAACCTGTCACCTACTTCATGCTGCTGCTTGAAGGTTTATGAGCCCATGAAGATGAGGACTCACTGGAAGGATAAGAGCTTAAGGAATGTTCTCCAAAAGCTTCTTGAGAGCAGGGATGTCTTTTATTCATCCCCAAATTCCTCTGCACTTCCCCAGTGCCCAACTATGGCTAGCATTGCATTCAACATACTCTGGACCACTGGGTATCTGTTTAAGATAGGGTGTTCCTTTGCTGAACAACTACTTATGGGAACTCAGTCTTGTTAGAAAGAGTGAGAATAGCCAAACATGGTAGTACAGATCTGTAATTGGGAACTTGGGAGGCAGAGGCAGGAGGATCAATGTAAGTTCAAGATCAGCTTGATCTGCATACTGAGACCCTGTGTTTAAAGGGGAGGGGGGATAAGAACATCTTCATTTGAACTATAATTATACAGTCCATACCTTGATGCCTAACAGCTTTCAGTATTTGACAGCCATATTTACTCTTACCTTCTCCATGGTCAATATTCCCCAGCATCCCCCAGTTATCTATGCAAACGGTCTCTTCAACATCACTGTTTCACCTCTGAGCATATTCTCTCTCTCTCTCTCTCTCTCTCTCTCTCTCTCTCTCTCTGCTTTTGTTGTTGCTGCTTTGAAACAGGGGTTTCATGTAGCCCAAGCTGGCCTCAAACTTGCTACATAGATGAGGATGATCTTGAACTCTTGATCTTCCTGCCTTCACTAACCAAATTCTGGAAATACAGGATTCACCACCATGCTCAGCACCAACATCCTTAATGTATAGTATGCACAACAGGACATGGAATTACAATGACAGGCTGGCTGGAGGGGAAAACTGCGTAATCACTATCTCATTACTGGTGCAGCCACCAATCATACTCTAAGCAGCACTCATATCCATGGACTAAAACTGACTGGGCACAAGAGAATCCAGAATAGCAGAAAGTGAAATGTTCACTTCAGAGAGCTAGAAATGCACATAATTCTCAGGGAGATAACATAGAGCTACCCAAATATTGACATACAAGGGTAGAAACAGGGAGATATGGCTTTTGGATGCCCAGTGCTGAGCAGTTAGTCAGGGACACAGCTGCTTAAATGAATGTAAGTTAGGTCAAAGGTGGGGCTTGAAATGACACTAAGATCCCGGACTCTAGTCATTTTATGGTCTCTCCTCTCAGATGACCTGGACCTGGATGAGCTCCAGCTGGAGATGGAAGACTCAAAGCCACACCCTAATATTCAGTGCAGCCCTGTTCCAGGTGAGATGGGTGCCCGGAGAGCAGGGGAAAAGGCACCCAACTACCTGGATAAGAATCCAGTTCAGCCTGTCTGCAGCTGTGCTCTGAACAGTTAATTTGCTGGTGCTCAACCTACTGAGAAAGCGAAGCCTCTTACAATTCTTGGGGGTAGGGGGATAGAGTTCTCTCCCTTGGTGGCTACACTTTGGAAGCAGTTGGGGTTGGGAGGAATCAAGCAGCAACCTTCATAAATCTGCCAACCAGAGGTTACACATCTCATGGAAGAGAGAAGAGAGAAGAAAGAATACCTGCACTTGCTAGGGTGATATGACTACTTTTGTGTATTTCCTCATTCTGACACCCATATCACAAACTCCTAGAGCCAGGTGGGACTCTGAAAGATCACCTTCTCCAGCTCTTTCTTCTCCATCCCATGAAGACTTGAAATTTCTCTATTTTAAAACACTCCAGGATAAACTCCAGTGCCCCTGGATAATTCCTACAGTACCATCTAACCTTTACAGTTGGAGTGTAACCTAGAGCCATTTTACTAGAAAGAGAAAGGAAAGGGGGGGGAGGGGGAGGGGGAAGAGAGCAAGAGAAAAGACAACTTTCTTGTTGATGCTGCACAACCTAAAATGGTTTTAGAGTGAACAGGTTCCTTTCTTGTGTGGTCCGTTTCATGGCCAAAAGGCCATGCCAGAAGACAGCAGCATGCTGCTTAGACCAGACAGAAAACTGTTCAGAATAAACACAAAGTGATGAACCAGTTTTATGTTTTCTGCTTCTACTTCATCTCACCTACACTTTCCAACTTTCCATATTTCTTTGGCTCAGGCCCCTTACCCAGAAAGCTTTCTGGCCTGACCTTCCTGAACAGCAGCTTTTAGCACTTAGTGGCAAGAGCATGCCCCCTAGTGTCAGCTGAGGGCAGAGCACTGACCCAACCCCTTTGAAGCAGATGACATCTTTTTTTAAATCTGGAAACACATTCTTCACTAGCACAGCTTCAGAAATTTCATGTCTGAAAACCAGCAAACAACAGGATGAGGTGAAAAATGAAGTTCTAAAAAACAAGGTTCAACTTGAACTTGCTTTAAAAATAGCTCATACAAATGGTCAAATAAGACTGGAGAATTGGTTCAGAAGTTAAGAGCACTGACTGCTCTTTCAAAGGACCCACATGACAGGTAACAACCATCTGTAATTCCAGTTCCAGGGAATCTGATACCCTCTTCTGCCCTCTATGGGCATTGCACGACAAGGGTGCAATTACATGCATGCAAATGCTCATACACATAAAATAAAAATGATAAAATATTTTAAACAAATGGCCAAATAAATTACTGCACATCATATAGTGGAGTATTTATTACACAGACATTGAAGATATGCTTTTTGAGGAATATGAGGAAGTGGGCAAGTGTGTGTAACAAAACTCAATTTAAAGAGAATAAAAGTCTATGTGTAGTAAAATCTCAACTTATTTTAAATATGTATATTTAAAAACCTGGAAGGAAATATACCAAAATAATGAGTTCTTTTGAGAGGTGGGGTTGTTTTTGTTGTTGTTTTTGAAACAGGGTCTTTTTGCCTTTTTGAGACAGGGTCTCCCTGTAGTACTAGCTGGAACTCACCATTAGACCAGGCTGGCCTTGATCTCACAGAGGTCTGCCTGCTTCCACCCCCCGAGTGCTGGGTTTAAAGACAAGTGCCACCACACCTTGCCAGTAGTTTCCATTTTTCCTGTTATTTCAATTTTCTACAATTACCACCTATTATTTCATAATCAGAAAAAAATGTTTTCAAAAATAGCTCCCACAAAAATCTCTTAAATTCCCGACCTACCTATACTGAAAAAGAAGTCTAAAGTAAAAGGAAATGAAGAAATAATATGCCCAAAGTCACAAGGTGACTTATGAACAGGCCCTAGGGAGATGTTGAAAATGCCAGGCTCTCACCCATTTAGTGTAGAGTCAAGTTGGAAAACTCCAGAAGTCCTAAGCACTGTTTTTTGTTTTATTTTAGATAGGTTCTTACTGTGATCCCAGGCTGGTCTCAGACTCATCATCCTCAAACTCATCTGCCTCAGTCTTCAGAGTGCTCAGAGTAGGTGTGAACCACTACTACACCTGGCAAACTTTTCTCTATTTGATTATGTACCGATTGCCAGATGAATATGCAATGTACTCAGAGCAAGGGAGAAACAGCCTGGTCCAATTTCTATTCAGGGCTTATCCACCCTGGAAACTTAAGTGATCACTGAGCAGAGGCCCCACCATAAAGCAGTTGACTGGGCAGTCCTCTATGTGGCTCTGCCCCAGCCATAACCCCCTATTCACTCCTACATGCCAGTGTGCAAACCTTGATCCTTTGGAAAGACTGCATTACTTAACATTTCCTCAGGTCTGGGTTTACATTATATTGTGTATATGCTTATGTGTGTTCTCCCCTTTTGCAGCTCCTTAGAAGAACTATCTAAGTATGTCTTCTAAGTATGTACTTTTTCCCACCCTCATTCCAGGAGTTCTCCAAGGAAAGCAAATTTTGCCTTCCTGAGACAAATTCAGGCCGAGGCTGATTGCCCTGCTTTGGACTGGGGATTCTCTCAGCACAGAGGCTGGCCTTGCTGTTGAACTGGGTTCCAGCAGCCTTGGCTTGGTACTTATATCTGTTCCTCTCTCTCTTGCAGGCCCCTTCAAGCCCTGTGAGCACCTATTTGAGAGCTGGGGCATCCGCCTTGCCGTGTGGGCCATCGTACTGCTCTCGGTGCTCTGTAACGGACTTGTGTTGCTCACAGCCTTTGCGGGCGGGCCCGGCCCGCTTCCCCCAGTCAAGCTTGTGGTAGGTGCAATCGCAGGCGCCAACACCTTGACTGGCATCTCCTGCGGCCTCCTGGCCTCCGTGGACGCCTTGACCTTCGGCCAGTTCGCGGAGTATGGAGCCCGCTGGGAGATGGGGCTGGGCTGCCAGGCCACCGGCTTCCTGGCGGTGCTGGGGTCGGAGGCGTCGGTACTGTTGCTCACTCTGGCGGCGGTGCAGTGCAGCGTCTCGGTGTCCTGCGTCCGGGCCTACGGGAAGGCACCGTCGCCGGGCACCGTCCGGGCGGGCGCGCTTGGGTGCTTGGCGCTGGCGGCGCTGGCCGCCGCCCTGCCGCTGGCCTCGGTCGGGGAGTATGGCGCCTCCCCGCTCTGCCTGCCCTACGCCCCACCCGAGGGCCGGCCGGCCGCCCTGGGCTTCGCTGTGGCCCTGGTGATGATGAACTCCCTCTGCTTCCTGGTGGTGGCCGCTGCCTTCATCAAGCTCTACTGTGACCTGCCGCGGGGCGACTTTGAGGCCGTGTGGGACTGCGCCATGGTGCGGCACGTGGCCTGGCTCATCTTTGCAGATGGCCTCCTCTACTGCCCCGTGGCCTTCCTCAGCTTCGCCTCCATGCTGGGCCTCTTCCCTGTCACCCCTGAGGCCATCAAGTCTGTGCTTCTGGTGGTGCTGCCGCTGCCTGCCTGCCTCAACCCACTGATCTACCTGCTCTTCAACCCCCACTTCCGGGACGACCTTCGGAGGCTCTGGCCGAGCCCGAGGGCAGAACCCCTAGCCTATGTGGCCGGGGAGCTGGAAAAGAGCTCCTGCGACTCCACCCAGGCGCTGGTGGCCTTCTCTGATGCGGACCTTATTCTGGAAGCTTCTGAGGCTGGGCAGCCTCCTGGGCTGGAGACCTATGGCTTCTCCTCAGTGACCCTTATCCCCTGTCAGCAGCCAGGGGGCACCAGGCTGGAGGCAAACCATTTTGTAGAGCTTGAGGGTACCCACTTTGGAAACCCACAGCCCTCCATGAATGGAGAACTGCTGCTGAGGGCAGAGGGAAGCACATTGATGGGCCGGGGTTCCTCGGTGGGTGGAGTCTTCTGGCCCTCTGGCTCTCTCTTTGCCTCTCACTTGTAAATAAATATCCCTCCCCATTTGTTCTCCCTCCTCCCAATGATGGCTGCTTTAAAATAAATACAACCTGAACTCCACAGCAGGATGGCCTCAGGCCCTGGCTCCCTCAGTCTTCCTCCATGGCCATAACCTAGGAGTGCTTCTAGGCCTTGTTTTGACCTCGACTTCTTCAGCTTTACTTTATCTTGGCCTCTTCCAGTCAAATCCAAATCTGTAGAACAAAGACCAGAATATTTACTTGAGGAAAATGAGGGAAGCAAAAGGCAATGAAGGGTGAGTGGGACTGTTAGGGCCATGATCAATGCATAATGAGTAGGGAGATCACAGAGAAAGGCCTGGAAGAGAATTACCAAAGATATATGAGCATCTTCCCTGTGGCTTGTGAATAGGATCTAAGATGTGTTCTATGTCTCATTGATCTTATCCTATGTCATGTAAATTGCTTCCTGTTAAAATATGCTTTGGAATGTATTGCACATGTTCCTTTCTTAGAGGCACAGGACATGTTAGTGTCTTAAAGGCCCTGAGAATCCCTGCAGTAGCTAAATTTATTGACGTTTATTTTAACCTAGTTCCCCAAGTTATTTGACGACAGGCTTGTTTGCTTTTCATGAAATACTTCTCACAGTACTTAACAGTTTTCTTCCAAGGGACTCGTCTCTATACCATGGAGTGCTACCCAATGGCATCACAAGATGCCACTCTCCTTGAAAACCCTGATCCTAAGAAGCCAACCTGGGTAAAGTGCCAGAGGAGACTGGTGATTCCATCATCCAAGACAACTCTTCACATTCTACTGCCCACTCTACTTACCCTTCCAGGGCAGAGATCAGGAGGAGCCTGCCTCAGCCTCACAAGGGACAGAGAGAAAGAGATCCTTGTATGTGTTCTCATCCCTCCCCCCCCCCCCCCCCCAAGCACCAATGAAACTTCTGCACTCAAGAAGACAGAGGGTTCTTGGGTCCTGGCAAGGTACACCCCAAAGTCTATGACTTGATGGGTTCCCTCTATCTCTGACTTGACTTTGTATGGTTATCCAATGTATGTCCCCTATCACCTCCTGCCACAGCCTGGGCCTCTCTTCACATCCTAATTCTGCTTCTGGGAGCCACAGGATGGCAAAAAGGAGGGATATTTGTATTGTAGGTATTGCATTTTAGGGAGCATTGTAGGTATCTGAGACTCCTGAGTGCCCCCAAACAGGCCAACAATCCTTCTGCCTCTCCCCTCATGACCTTTCTTACCTTATACTTTCCCAAGTGCAGCTGAGGATCTACAGAATGCTTCCCACCCCATTCCAAACATTCAACCTCAGGGTAAAGAAGTAGAGGAGAATCCAAGATTCAGAAATGTGTGAGAATTGTTCCTGGGAACCTCCAACATAATCCGTATTGAGAGGACTGAGTCTGAATCCTGAAACCCAATGGAGCACAGTTCTCTACCTAAATTCTGCTGTGATCCCTAGCCAGGCCATTCCTCCAGGAGCTCCGCCATTAAAACTAGTTTCATAGTTCAAGTTTCTACGGCTTAGCTTTTCTGCTGTCCCCTCTACCCTTGGTGTCCAGTGGAAATTCTGGCATAGGTCAGTAAAGGGGAATGGGGTGGGGTGGAAGGATGAAGCAGAGACCACGCATGGAACCGGAGACATTTCTAAATCTCATGTGACTCCTTGAGTATCCTGAACTCTCGATGACTCTGACGCAGTATATGCTTACCTTTCAATTCCTTAGGGTCTTGGAATCTTCATTATAGGCACTCAATAAACAATGGTGCATTTATTTATTAATTGATCCCCAGAGCTGAGCAAGAGTACTTGGTGGAAGAAATTTGTATTTCTTTGGGTATTGAGAATTGATGGTTCTGAGATATCCCAGAGTGACAACAAAATTAACATTATTTTGAGGAATCTTAATCTCTAAGTCACCCTAGGTCCTCCTCTGTCCCCTATCACCACAACCATAGAGTCATTTAGGAGCCAACTTTGAGGTGGAATGGAATGACGTATGTTGGAGGTCTAGGAATATAGGAATTGTTTCTTGAAGGTGGCTTCTTCTATGACAGTGGACCAGCGCTTTTTGGCTGCAAGCTCTGGGGTAGCACTACTGTCACCTTATTGTCTGCCTCTAAAGATCTGGGTATTAGCTAAACTGGACTTTCTGATCATAGAAGAGGTAAAGGGGAAGAGAATTGAAGGTGTTTCCTACAAACTATTATTCAAGAAGTCTAGTCAGCAGTGGGAGCACATATCTGTAATCCCAGCACTTGGAATGTAGAAGCAGGAGGATCAAGAGTTAAGGTCAACCCTTGCTAGCCTGGGCTATATGAGACCCTATCTCAAAAAATGAAACCAAAAAAAATTAGTTGATGTACATTTACCCAAAATAAGACCGAGTAGTAAAATTTCTTCTTCTTTTCTTCTTCTTCTTCTTCTTCTTCTTCTTCTTCTTCTTCTTCTTCTTCTTCTTCTTCTTCTTCTTCTTCTTCTTCTTCTTCTTCTTCTTCTTCTTCTTCTTCTTCTTCTTCTTCTTCTTCTTCTTCTTCTTCTTCTTCTTCTTCTTCTTCTTCTTCTTCTTCTTCTTCTTCTTCTTCTTCTTCTTCTTCTTCTTCTTCTTCTTCTTCTTCTTCTTCTTCTTCTTCTTCTTCTTCTTCTTCTTCTTCTTCTTCTTCTTCTTCTTCTTCTTCTTCTTCTTCTTCTTCTTCTTCTTCTTCTTCTTCTTCTTCTTCTTCTTCTTCTTCTTCTTCTTCTTCTTCTTCTTCTTCTTTTCTTCTTCTTCCTCTCCTCCTCCTCCTCCTCCTCCTCCTCCTTCTTCTCTTCTTTTTTTTGACTGAATTTCTAGCAAGTCAGTATTATTCCTTTGGTTATCTCTTTTGTGAAGATTATGAAGATTATGTGTCTTTGATTGATCACAGAATCAAGAAGTAAACTGTTCAGAGCATATAAGTCCTTTTTTGTTGTTGTTAACAAAATCTTCTAAAATACTGTCCATGGGAAAGAATTCCAAAGGGCAATGGTGGTGATAGAGGAAATATTGGGACCTTGGGTGTGCTGCCCTGGGCTCTGTGTGCTGTGCCATCAGTCAGTGCCAACCACAATCTTCTCTTAGACTGACATGAGGAGGGAAACTTAGAGTGGACCACAGCTTACTAAGTATCTCATCAAAAGGGAATAAAGTATAGAGCTAAAATTGGTAGACTGTGGATTAACAGAGTTTCTAGCTAGGCTTTACCCCTTACCTCTTCTCCCACTCCTTCTGGTTCTGGTTTACTTTTCCAGGAAGAATAAAGGCTTAATGAGTAAGAGAGAGGAAGAAGAAAGAGCTGGCCATAAGCAAAAAGCCTAAGAGGCAAGGCTGGCAGGAGGTAGTTGGAACCCAGATCTTTCTGGCACCAGCCCCTCTGACTACCTCTGCTCTGGGTTACCAAGTTCCCCCACCTGTCACTCACCACCCCTACATCCCCTCTGGGTTCCAGTCTCATGCCCTCTCCAGTCATGTGAGATATAAGAATTGTCAAGATGTAAATATTCGGGCTCTTCTGTATAATAAAACATCATGAAGTACCATATGTGTCCCTCAGCTTCTTCCTGCTGTCCCTGGTGGAGGTGGGATGGTTTTGAGGGAGGTGTGATCAAGAGGGTCTAGCTCTTCTTTAATCCCTCCTACTGAGTTCTGGGGCATTGAGGGCACAACTGAGGAGGCTGCAGTTGATATTTGGAGGCATTAAAAGCAGTTCCATTCACCCATACTGAAATATCCTTTGTGTGCACTGGGTCAGACAGAGAACAGACTCTAAAGAAAGCTATGAGCAGCTTAGGCTTTCTGTGTCTCAGACCCTCACGCCTTGTCAGACTCACGCCTACTGCCAGGGGTTGGTGATACCACGAACAATCAGTTCGTTTTCTTCTCCTTGGGTGAACTTCTCCACTCACTCTGCCCTGGGATTCTTCCCTCCCCACAGCCTGCTTCAGTGTGATGACATTCTGAGACAAGCAGGGACCCTTCTTGGGGAAAGGAAAGAGACCAAAGACCCTGCAATCACAGGAACTAGATGCTCGATACAGTGTAGTATCAGGGCCTTACTGGCCTTCTAGCTGACACGCTTGCCTTCCTCATTTCCCTTTTCATCCTTTCCTATATCTAAATATTTTTTCCAACTTATTTTTAGTTGAGACATAACCAACCCTTCTGAGAAGAGAAATGGTGCCTTCATAAACACCTGTCTTCTACTCCTCTTGGACAAGGAATATTCCAAATCCCCATCCTTTTTGCTCAACTGCAGGGAAGCCTGTTTCTAGGTTATGGGGGGCGGGAATGGGGTTAACTCCAGTAAATGTGTGTCCCTTGAGATGTAGAATCTAAGCAAACCCAAGACTAGAAAGCCCCAAAAGACCAGGTGTTGGGGCTTGAATCTAAAACCAGAGGCTGTTCTGGATGAAGCATTTCTGGGTTCTGGCCTGTGGGCATTTGGGATTAGTCACTCATGCCTACCACGAGCAGGCTCTGCAGTTCTCTCTAGGTCAGTTTTTTCTTATGCCTATCTGCCTTTCAACCACAATCAATTGTTCCCTTTTGTTTAAAGAGCTTTTCTCTAATTTTTGAATAAGTAATCACTGACATGGTTCAAATAGCAGTTTTTAAGTCTGCCGTCTCTGCCCCTCTTTGCTCACTTCCTAGTCTCAGTGGTTACCACTGCTGTAATGTCTCATACTTCCAGAATGGTTGAGAGACAGTCATATATCACAGACTAGCCTCAAATCTGTTATGTAGCAGAGGATGACCTTGAATTTCTGATCTTCTCACTACCTTGTGTCACCATGTTCAGTTTATGAGGTGCTGAGGGTCAAAGTCAGGGTGTCACACGTGCCAGACAAGCTTTCTACCAACCAAGCTAGATCCCAAGAATTTATTTTCAGTTCTTGGGATTGAACCCATAGCCTTGTGCACCCTAGGCAAGTGCTCTACAATTAGGTCAGATCCCCAGCTCAGAGTTTAGTGTTTTTTAATCCATGTACAAAAAAAATGCATATATGTGTTTACTTTTCCTTTGTAGCATACCACAATGCTTCTGCTTCCTACTT